AGTAGCCGGGAAGTAACAACCACCCACACACTTCCAAAAGCACAGGAAGCCTTCCTGAACACCATTCCCTTTACTCACATCACCTTCCTCATCTCGTTTCTCTACTACAGTTAGTATTTTTTTATTACAGCTTGATGCCACACTGTATTTTTGGTACGAGTATGGCATTTTCAGCATGTGATATCGGTAGCCCAAATTTCGCAGGCCGACCACAGATATCGAGTGTGCGTCGGCAGGGGATCGAACCCCGGACCATGTGCATGGTCGGCGAGAGTCCTAATCACTGTGCCACCGACGCACTAGCATTACTCTGAAGGCTAGTGAGTCATCTTCACTTCAACTTGTGACCACAAACAACGGTGAGAGCCATAGAAACACCCCAGATAGCCTTTTAAAGCCACGTTGCCAACTTCATATGGGAGCACTTAACATCAGGACCCTCTGCCAAATGGAACAACAGGCATCACTAGTCACATCTCGGGCTATGGATGTATGTTGTGTTTCGGAGACACGCATACAAGACCCGAGTGTGGTCATTCACTTAACCTCACCTGGTCAACAAGGTGAATCAGCGAAATTCACTTTAAGGGTGTCAGGAGATCCCTCAGCTAGCTCGCGAGGACCCGCAGGTGTAGGGATAGCACTGAGTGTTAGGGCGGAAAATTCACTTCTCGACTGGATCCCAATAGATAGTCGTGTGTGTGCGGTCCGTCAAAAGAAGCAAAGACGGTGCTACCCGTCGTTACCTTTTCGTAGTCTCTACTTACAGCCCAACAGACGGCAGTTCGGATGAACTAAAGGATGCCTTCTACCTGAAACTGTCTAATTCGCTGCAAAAAGCAAAGCATTCAGATATCGATGTTTTAGCAGGCGACTTCAATGCCCAAGTAGGGAAGTTATGCCAGACTGAGAAGTTTGTAGGTGGTACGTATGGAGTTCCCTGCCGACGAACCGACAACGGTTATCGTCTTCTACAGTTCTGCTCATCATCTGTTCCTAGTCAGCACTAACTTTAGGCACAAAAGAAAACGTTGTGTAACCTAGCGACCTCTACCACCAAATCAACGCCAGACTTAGATAGACCACATAGCGACAGGGTATCGCTGGTGAGGGTCAGCAGGAAAATGTCGCTCCTTCAGGAACACATGCGCGGACTCCGATCAAGCCGTGGCTCGTGCACATTTATACTTACGTCTAAAGGATATAAATTGTTGGCAGCGAAGCAGTTACGTCCTCAACTACAACGAGACTCTGAGTGCTGATTAAAAATAGCGAAACACGTATCTGAGATAGACAGCAAGACTCTTCCTGAGGACACCTGGCACAAATACAGTTAGCCGTGGATACAGCTATAAAGGTGTTAATAACCTAAAACCAAAAGTTAGTAAGAGCTATTGAATCTATACCGCCTCATCCGAACTTATTGACGTAAGAAGACTGATTCCGTCGCGCTCCGATTATGATGAGGAGCGAAAGCTACTCAAACGAAAACTAACAATAAGTATTCGCAACGACCATGTACAGTGGTGGGTGACTAAAGCGAAAGAGATGGAAAAGGCATCGACGATTGGCAACACCAGACAACTATTTAGGCTTATCAGGGAAACAGGTGGTAAAAGGCAAATGATAAATGAGACAATATCTGAGAAAAATGGCACCATAATTAGCTCCCAGGATAGACGACTGGAACGCTGGAAAGAGCACTATGAGGAACAGTATAATTGGTCTACTGCCACGCTCAACCTTCCGAGCATCCAACACCTCCCTGAATGGGATATAGACACAGGTCGTCTGTCCCTAACTGAGGTTACTAAAGCTGTCACCAATCTGAAACTAGGCAAAGCAGCGGGACCTAATGGAATGACTCCAGCGGTATTTAAGTACGGTGGAGACAGTTTACTGTCTGCATTAACTGAGGTACTTGGCAGCGTTATATATATATATATATATATATATATATATATATATATATATATATATATATATATGGACCTAAAGGCGGCATTCGATTCTGTCGACCAAGAGGTTCTCTGGAGGTTCTTGGCTGTAAAGGGAATTCCGAGAAAATACATTGCACTGATTAAGGCACTCTACTCGAACTCAAGGATTACGGCGAGTTCCCATCTGAAGTGGTGACGACTAGTGGTGTCCGTCAGGGATGCCCACTATCCCCATTTCTATTCAATTTCATCAAAGATGTACTAATGGACTTAAACCTAACTCACTTCAGCGACTCAGGGATTGACTTGCTACCAGGGAATAATCTCGTTGACTTAGAATATGCAGACGATATAGTCCTTCTAGGCGAAGACGCTGACAAAATGCAGAGTCTTCTGAACGCCTTGAGCTGCAATCTACGAATGTTTGGGATGCGATTCGCTCCCACCAAATGCAAGATGATGATACAGGACTGGACTACACCGACTCCTAGATTAGAAATAGGAAGTGAAGTGGTAGAGCACGTTGACCGCTTCACTTATTTGGGAAGTACCATCAGCCAGTGCCAACGGGTTGATCTCTGACGAAATCTCAGCACGGATTCAGAGGGCTCGTTTCGCATATACCGTCTCTGGCGTAGACGTGATATCCGACTATCGACGAAAGGGAGGGTGTACTGCTCATCAGTCCACTCCGTCCTTCTTTATGGCTGTGAGACCTCGCCATTGAGAGTGGAAGACATGAAAAGACTAGCTGTCTTTGATCATAGGTGCCTGCATTCTATTTCCCGTGTAAAGTGGCATAATAAGGTGAGCAACATTGAGGTTAGGCGTCGAGTTCTAGGTAAACAGGGGAAATCAATCGACGAAGTCGTGAAGCTACAAAGACTGAGATGGTTAGGACATGTGTTACGTATGCCAAGCCATCGCCTCCCTCGACGAGCAATGTTAGCGGATATAGGGTCAGGCTGGAAAAAACCTAGCGGCGGTCAAACAAAAACTTGGCACTAGTCAATGAAATCCACAACAGTTGGTCTAAGCCACGTAGGAAGGTGTAGACTGTCAGGCTAGTTGGGGTCCTAGGGACGGTGAAAACCAATTGCTGGAAACAATTGGTGATACGGGCTCAAAATCGTTCTCAATGGCTGGCGCAGATGCATCCACTCCTTGTGACCTACGATTTCCAATAAAATTATATTGTTCTTCGTTATTACTATTCCTTTGTCTCACACCTCTGTTTACTGTCTGTATTATGCACTGCTTTTTTCTCTTGCTTTGTGTGCTACGTGGAGTGTGGCGACTCGAACTGCCGCACATACGTGCAAAGTTCTATGTCGAAAACAGAAAGACAGACAGACATTTTCATGTATGAAATGAGATACTTAATTGACTGATGAATACGTGTGAAAGATTGCCATTATATCAGAAGTATCTGCTAACACTGTTCGTGTCAGCTGAAGCACTGTAGCCATTAGAAACACCAAAATGAAAAGTAAAAGCATATTTGGTGTGATAGGGACTTTCGTTTTATAACCAGATATTATGACCAGTATAACTTGGAAACTAGTAAATACAACAATCTGCCGCTAGATGTCAATAAAAGTCAATCTGAATTAGATAATGTACAAAGACCGACTCAGAATGGTTGCAAGAAAAACTAAATAAATTAAACATCAACAGATTATGTCAATACTACGATTTGGTGCTAATGTTTAGTGAAGGTGGAAACGAAAAATTATAATTTCTGTCCAATAAAGTCAATCAGGAAAAGCTGACTATAATCAAGACTATAACCAAAATATTTCCTTTTCGACGATTCATTTTCATGAGCTGTTTACGCCTTTTTCTTATGACTGTATATGGCAATATTTCGTTCATTTAATTGATGGATGGTGACTAGTAGTGGAATCCATGATGCGCATTTCGTCCCATTTGGGACTCGTCATTTGGATGTAACTGCATTTCTCAGTGAGTGATGATGTTACCATCGAGGCTCGAACCCAATGCCCACGGTTTCCACGATGCCCAGACATCGTCGAAGCATCTGCACAAGAAGCCGACATGTCAACCTGAGAGTGAGCACTTCGGTGCCATCAATCGACAGGAAAATCTAAAATTCAATTAAATTTCGTTCATTTGTTTTTTGAGAAACCTTTAGAACAGGAGCTCTGAAAGTTATGTAGACACTGGGAAATAATTTAACTGGGCCATAACCACGACTCAGTTTCTTTTAATCCTGACTTAACTAGCATTATAGATTATCCTGATGACTTTTTAACAGTTGTGAGAAGGCGGTTGTGCGTCAGAAATAGGTCAAAGAGGCAGAAACTAACGACCTATATCATAATGTTTTTAAGGATTTTAATCAGGGATAATATAAAACAGATACTCAACAACGACCGAAATCGACTGTTGGCCACTTTGTTTATGATGGTCACACGTAGAGTAGATAGATTAGCACTGCTTTTATCTTCCTAGAGCTACCGATCATTCCACATACTTTTAAGTAGAAAAGACTGAGAAACCCAAGCATGGTTTTAGAATGCGGAAGTACTGACTACATTTCGAATTTCTAGCTATTTGTGCTTACATGCATTTAATCGGGTTAGAAGATACACTAGGATTGTTTGGGTAACTTATAGTGCCTAATTAGAGTCCTTGAGGTACTAGGGATCGATGTTTACAAACAATACAACAATGACTCAACACCGACTCCAAGAAGCATAGAATCGCTAAGTTTTCACCCTCCTTAAACTTTCAAACAGTATTAATCTGCACTCATGACAGAAGACTTTTACTGGTTGATTAGTGTGTCCGAATTTTACTTCACCGAATTTATTTAAGACGGATAATGAGGAGCTATTCATCTTAAAGTAAGCGTAATTCCTAAACTGACATAAAAACATATGTGGAACAAGGTAATCAAACTAAATAACTATTCACTAATGAAGTTTGTAATCTATTTCAAAATCCAAGGGAACAAACTACCAAATCCTACTGTAATTATTCTTCATATAATAGACCAAAATGAATAATACAGTTACTTATTCAATAATGCCTTACCGGGGAAACTGGGGTTCACAACAGAATCTCCTCCAATTTAATAAACAACCCAGAGTAAAAGGGTTTATTAGCCCACGGAACTTATCTGTAACCTGATTTAAAAGAAAACATAACAATCATAATGACAACAGTGACAGCAGTACAGGAAAAGAATATTATGGGTAGTTTGTTGACACATCTACACGTAAACATGTTTACAACAATTGCGGTTAATTATCAACGTTCCGACTGAAATCAACCAGGACTAACACATAACGCAAAACTCTCCACACTGAAATAAAGATAGAACTTGGGCACTGTAACAGAGTTTAAATTCATGATGGAACTTCCATAATGAATTTGCATTATTCGTTAGTGAAAAGTTAAAATCAGGTAACTTATTAATTAGAGGGACTTACTGAGGCTGATTGAGATGACACAGTAAACATTACTTTTCATATATGGCTTCCAACTTAGAGGTCGCAGACTTAGAAAATGCCTTGCGTTAGCAGCAGGATGATACAGCCAATCAATAAACAACAGGCATTGCTCATGGAGTAATAGACGGACCGTTACGTGAATACCAAGTCGTACCATATATTTGCTGGTTATTACTCATTCCAAAAGACTACACTGAATCGTTCCTGCTAATTGTATTTACAGAATACTACCACTTACAAAACCATTGAAATCTTTTTTCTCGAACAGATTTGTATTCCTTGATAACAAAACACTGCAAACAAGTCTAAGACAGCTAATACACCAAAACTCAGTGTCCATTACTTTTAATATCAGAGCACTCTGATGGTATCGGTATGTCTAAAAGTGAAGGGAAGGGTGCTTCTTATGCAACCGAAAATAGTAAATGTCTTTTAATAACTTTAGAATATAAAACACCAATATGGCCTTAACGATCCAAATATTGTCACCTAAAAAGAAGAGCAAAGTATGTTGAAACATGCCTCACGGTAAACTTAATTTTGATGTCCATAAACTGGGCAGTATTAAATTATATGTCAGGTCGTGATTCATTAGAATATTCGTTCATCGTCCAACAGGCAAGAAGCAGACTCACTTTCGCTCCAGCTACTGAAGCTCGGGCGACTACGTAACTCGATTCTGATAGACCTAGTGTCTAGAACAAAAATTTGTTGCATTTCTTAATCCACTTTTTCTCTTATTACTTATGCTTGTCATCTGAATGGATTTTGTGACTTCATTTCTTGACAAGCAAACATTTCTTACGCGCTATAAACTACAATAAACACACATCACATTTAGCAGACAAACCTTGTTTCTCAAAGCTATGTTTACATTTATTTCAAAAGTTTTTGGCAGTAGCTTAAATGAGGAGTTAACGTCACCTATACATATTTCAGCTGCTTATGCTCCTAAAAGAAGTACACACGGTGACTTTATCATTTGACTGAGATTGCCTGGTTTGAGTTCCGCTAAACATAAATGAGGTAACTAGTGACTTGGTAGGTCAAAACCTAGTCTAGTTGATTGCTGACAAATGAAGTTTTACATTTATTTTCAGAACTACAGCTTCTAACCATATTAGATACACCACGAAAATTACAGCAGAAGCTACCTCCCTAGTGTATAAGAGTGAATCAGCACAAACCAAACTTTCCGAGGTCATGTGCATGGAACTCACCTTTACGACAGTTACACTAGGCCAGGTTTGGAAAGACACACCTTTTAGGGAAAAAATCTAAGGAAGTCAAGCGACCATCATATGCGTTCAAAGATATGGGTTACCAAACGGATGAGGAAATCCACCAATGGTATACGGCCACAATAAAAACAATGCCATTATATTTGGTGCTGTCTTTTTCACACCATCAAGGCTTTCTCATAAGATACTTTTATACTATCTTCAGTCCCAAACAACTAGTTTTGTACTCCAAATAGAATACAGAGAGAAAACGAGAGCAGTGTGTTCATCACCACATCTGCAGCATATGAGCATTATTAACTACCAGTTCACACCGGTAAATAATGTTGATGTTAGGCGTAGAGTTTTGGGCAAAGAGGGAAAATCAATCGACGAGGCTATAAAGTTACATGGATTGAGATGGCTAGGTCACAAGCTGCGCATGCCTAACCATCGCCTCCCCCAACGCGCATTACTAGCTGATATAGGTGCAGGTTGGAAAAGAGTAAGTGGTGGCCAAACAAAAACATGGCCTCATCAATCCATGAAATCCTTGACAGTTAAACTGAGTCAGGTAGGGAAATGCAGACTTCCGGGTTGGGGCCCCCGAGACTCTAAGAATCAATGGCTGGAGACAATAGGTGACATGGCTCAAAATCGTTGTCAATGGCGCAGATGTATTCAGTCTCTGTAATCTTTCATATTCCTTTCTACCATTACCCATTCTGTTTCACTCTTATACTTGTCAAACTCTATTGATTCTCTTCACTCATCTTCTTGTCTACCTTTGTGTGCTATTTGGAACGTGGCAACTCGAACTGGTGCACTTCGGTGAGCAAACTAGTAGCCCCTGCTACTTCTTTCAAATACCAGAATGAGTTACAATCAATGCTTTCCAGCAACCCCCTAAGTAGTATAGATGAACAATGGCTTCATCTGCAAGGTGCCATGCAAAAGGCGAGTGTAGCCGCTTGTGGCTTGAAAGAATGCAACTCCTGGATGAACGCCGGTCCATTCCGGCTGGTAGCGAATACAACAATAAGCGAAAGGCGCTTACGCACAAGATGACAGTGTTTACGTAAGGACTGCGAAGCCTGGTGGTCAGAATGTGTGTGAGGTGGAGTCAGCTGCTGCATCTGGCAACAGTCGGAAGCTGTTCCAACTCATCGGAGCCACCGACAGCAATAAACACTGTAGTTCCTGGTATACATCGAAACAATCTGAAAAGCCAACTTAACGAAGAGAAACATCGCCTTATTTCACAAGTAAAACTAAACAATCACTATACTTTATTCATCAATGAGTTATTAAGGAATAATTAACGGAAACTAACCTGTTCATTCGTTGTCATTCCTCGAGAAATCAGATAAACATGAAATGAAGTTAGTCCAAAGACCGGAATGAAACTAACACCAACTAGTGATAATATAATGATACTACAATATAGAGTTAAGGCGTTTAATAAATTAAATAGATTAAAATGGCAACATAATCAGTAAGGCTGGATGCCAGGAGTAGAAAAGCTTACACACTGTTGTAGTTCCGTAGTTCGTCTCTACACATCAAGACAGTACATGAATCCATACGTAGCGTTTAAACTTGGTAAAATATACCACAGTCATTAGTTATTGGGGGTAATATTTACGAGTTGGCTACCAAACACCTCAGGTGAGTAAATCCGTTCAGAAACCAAAAGCATGATACTTTTATTAATGAGCTCAAACTTCTATAAGCGCTGTAACGTATAACCGAAGTTTGCGGTTTCATGCAATAAAAATAAGAGTATTGAGTTACAATTTACAGAGGAAAGTTTTGTGTTTTTAGTGGACATTTGCATTTATCCTCAGACGTAGTGATTTTAGCTTCCGGCGGTAACGATACAGCCAGATACGTTTATTCTGCAGAAAACAAGAAAGCCCTGTGTTTGAAGTATTTTTCACTAAATAAATATCTAGAAACCACACTACGTAAAAATCGCTACATCCTTATGAGTGGGTATATGACTAATAGTAATCCATCGATGTAACTTAAATACACTAAATTATAATGCCTCGATGAAAGCTGTAGACACTCAAAAATATTGAATACCAACGATGCTAAAGAAAATGTTCCATGCAGAGTCTAAGATGATTTCAGTTAACCTTTGACACAGAATTGCATAGGCAGAGCACAGTTGATTGCTGATTTATAAATGACACAAAATCTCGTCATTTACTCGTCGGTGCATTTACAGTGTTACAAAGTTGAGACACACGAAAGGAGTGACTCAGTGAGATGATGTCAGTCTTTTGAGTTAACCAAAATTGGATAAATACAGAACCGAAATAAACGCTGGCAGTACTTATGTCTTTAAAGTGAGCTTTTTGTACTTTTGAAAGTGTGTGGGCAACTGTTACTCCTAGGCTGCTCATACTGTAAAAGTCTCTGAAGTATAACGCCAGATGTCTTTTATCATTGTTAAAATCAATAATAGTATTGGTACATTAACGCACGACTTAATCCCAATAAATTTCAGCTGAGATATCTGGGTTGCCAGAATATTTAAGCTATTATGTAGATTAAAAAAAGAAAACAATGTATGAATAGTTTAAAGTAGGATGCAAAAAGGATACCGTATAATATTTGTGTAGAATGCTATCGGCTGCTCACTCAGCAAGAGGGATGCGAGGGTTACACTGAGCACAACAACCATATGAAGTGTGAGAGAGACCAGGAACATAAAAAAGTATCGAGCATTTCTTCTCCCAATACAATTATTGACCCAAGGACAATGGTGATCAAAAGTCTATTGGAAAGAGATGAGATTAGTATGAACACTTACATCAACACACCGGTTACATATAGAACAGTGTGAACACCTGGGTGGACGATAGAAAAGGCAAGTGCTGCACCACTTGACTTTAGCCAGTACTCCGTTTATATTATATTCCCGATGAACAGGAGCAGATTTAGTTTCTTCATATTCAGCTTCTCCCTCAGTAGCTAAAGATAAAAATGTTGAGGAAGGCACTCACCGAAGGGGAAATAACCAGGGTCCATAAAAGTTGTGCGTGTCAAACAGCATAGAACATACAAAAACAGAATACTGTGGAGAGCGAATATTGACCAGGAATATGTCGCAGCAAATTGGAAGCAACTACGTTGAAACATATATCAGTATAAAACTCTTGTTACATAAATATGAGGTAGACTGTTGTAAGGACTATTATAAGACTCCAGGCGACAACGGCTGGAACAACATCAGCAACCTTGGCAGAACTCATTGTGCATCACATTTTGGCAGGAGAATCCAATCACCCGCTGATTATTCTGAGCATTCCAGAAACTGACCTTGTCCATTCAATTTCAACATACTTAAAACACAATACTTCTGCCTGCAAATTACACATATTCATAGTGCTTGATTCATAAAAAATCCTGAATTCTCTGGCTAAGTTAAACTTTAAGCATCATTAACTATCAATGGAATGAGACCGCACCAATAACATTGAAAGAGTCGCTGAGCAAGTCAGTGAAACCTGGCAAATAATGTTGTTATCAACAATAAAATATGCTGATAGAAGTGTTATGCTATTAAATGGGATATCAGGCAAGTTATAGCTTACGTTTGGAAAAGATTAAGTTACGCTCTAATCCAAGGGCAAGTTAGGATTAAGTTAACCTAATAAAGGCGATATTGGGGTTGGTTCGAGTTAGATTACAGTTAGTTACAGGGATATTTTCACCTGTTAGGGTTAGGTTCAGGAAGGATTAAGGTTATTGTTTGGGTTAGAAGACCTAAATAATTACGTGCATAAAATGGGGTTAAATTACTCCGTTGATATATCTATAAGAATAGAACTTGTGTACTGTGGTAGAGTATAATTCTGTTGCGGATAAAATTTATTTTGATAAACTCACACAGTGTTATACAGTAATATTTACTGATGACCACGTTTCGAGCACAATGTATTGCTCAGTAAATATTACTGTATTACACTATGCGACTTTATCAAAATAAATTTTACCCACAATGGAATTATGCTCTGTTGATACTCCAACCTAAAACTGAGGGCGTTTTTTATCACATGTGAAAGGAAGGTATCCCCTGAAACACTTTCCTACAGTTTTTATGCATTACTTCATAAATATATGTATTCTATGCGCAAAAACGCCTCCTTGACGTTATTGATGCGTTCGGGGTCCTTCGCTGATTGGTAGTTAGTGGTGCTTAAAGTTTAACTTTGCCGATTCTCTGTTTGTCTCTACCTATTTTCTCTTGATAATGTAGGCAATAGTTCAAGGGGCTCAAAATCTGTTACAATTTATTATCTGACATAAACTAAAGCAACTTCATCCTTTTGGCTTCTTAAAATTTAGTTAATAACTCTTGTGCAGGTTGAAGTAGATTGTTTTCCATTTATATACCTCAACACCATTTTTTGCAAGTTAACATGACCTTATTGAAAGTGGAAGATAAAGTAGATATTTTATTTTTATTTTTGTTGACAGCTTGATTCCACACTGTATTTTTGGTACAAGTATGGAATTTTCAGCATAGATATCGGTAGCCCAAATTTCTCAGGCCGACCATAGATATCAGGTGTGCGTCGGCGTGAGCTCAGACCCCGGACCGTGTGCATGGTCGGCGAGGGTCCTAACCACTGTGCCACCGACGCACAGCTAAGGTAACAATAATAATACAACTAAAAATGGTGGTGGGCCTGTTTCACACAGTATTAATAATAATGTATATTCTCATATAAACATATAAATTTACATGAAATTGCATGCCATTTTTACAGGCACGATCAAGTATGATATAATATCAAATCGTAGATTGTCTACAAGTTAATAATGTTTCAACAGTTAAATATTTGATATATAAATAAATACACATTGTCTGAACTAGGCTGTATAGTTATTGAATTGTACAGTTGTCCTCCAGGTTGAGCGGGAAAATCGACTTCGTTTCGTTTTCATCCCGTGGTTGTCGGCATACGATAACCAACCAATATTGAGGTAAGTACAACGTTTACAAGGGATTGAAAGCTGTTTTAGAAAAGTAAAAGTGCTAAGGTGAATCAATCAAGTGTAATGAAATGGGTAAGTGCAAGTATCACTAATAAATGCATTAATAAAGGAAACTCCCTAGGCTGACAACGTTCATTTGCAATGTATAATGCTACACGTATATCTCGTACTATCATGATGTCCACTTTTGGTTTTAATACATTTTTTCCTTATGTCGGTTTTTTTTTATTTTATGCCTTTTTGTGCATTTGGTGCACAACCGTACCCTACAGAGAATAGGAATAGAATAAGTCGAATCAAATTCATAAGAGCTATAAAATGTTAGGTTTAATGGGATATAATGAGGATCAAGTAAAGACGTTATTGGAAAATGAATGAGATAAGACATTGTGAAGTGGTATTTAAAGATCCGACAATGGACAGCAAGTTAGTTTATAAGATGCCCCATAAATCTGTGCAGAGACCGCATGGTCGCATCTCAACAATAGGCTGAGCGAATGGTATATATTTAAAGGTAGAAGCATGATCTGTCAAGGCGTTCATTATTATCTTTTTCAAGATAAAGATCTAAGCCCTCATAAAAATCAGAAATATCTCGAGCCTTTAATTTGTATATTGCTGTTCCTGCAGAATGGGGCGATTCACCTTAGTGACCCCACCATATCTACTGATCAGCTAACGCCACCCTCCCTCCTTTTTTGATGTTAGGCTCTGAGACTATGATTATTATGGCTACCGCAAATATATTGCTTGGTACCAGACATGTTCGTACCTCATATTCCATCTCCCTAGCTTTCTTAATGAGTGCTTCCAATAGGTCTCCGCGTACATCTTTATGAACATTATATATGTATGCATGCGTCCTAATGAACAGATTACTTTACAAGAAGTTAAACCTTAAAGAATAAAAAGAATAGGTTTTGTGAATAGTGAAGCAAGATTCAGCAGAACAATATAGTTAGGGATCAATGTAGGTAGTATGAACTGAAGGTAAGGTCGGTTGGCAGGACTTAGTGTACTAAATTATCATGACAGTCTTATATATAGTAGACATTTGACATTGCAAAGTAACGTGTCTACATATTATAAAAAGATATTAACAGAACCAACAAAATTTCAGCATTTGGTTAACAATACTACAGAAGGGTAGTTAGTACTACAGGTAGTCGTAAAGTAAATCAATCTATAATAATAAGAGCATAGTCAGTGTCATAATTCGTATTATCAAAGAATACATTAGGCTCAATAACTGAGTGTTATAAGGGAAATAAGATGGTAAACCAAGAGAACATTTGCCGCGTAAATATTTTAATCATTTTAAGTATTTTAATGACAATCTAATTTCAAGTATTGAACCTACATAATTACTAAGTATTATTATGTTAGTCTGGGAACTAGTGTACTTTCCGTAGTTAAATATTGAAATGCCATTGTCTCTCCACTCTACCAGCAGTTGAGATCTTTGAGGCGGGCTAGGGTGGACATGTTTATATGTTTTTCTAGGCTCCTTTTGAAACTGTCAGGCCTTTCACAGGATCTTATCTCAGAGGGTAGTTGGTTCCAAAGTTTGCAATATTTAATGGTGAAGAAGTTAGCTCTAGTGGTGAGTTTATGGGTGTTAACCTTGAGAAGGTAGTTGTGGTTGCGTAGTCCATACGATTTAGGATTAGCCCAGGTTATGGACGAGTTACTGTTACAGTGCTTTCTTATAACTTTGAATAAGAGAAATAAATTGCACTTCACTCTCCTTAACCATAAGGGCTCTAAGTCCAGTCGAATACATCTGTCAAGGTATTCTATTTGCTGACCATAGCCTAATATGCGTTTCGTGAGGAATCTTTGGACACTTTCAACTTTTTTTCTGTCTGCTGATTTAAAGCTACTGTATAAGTGGGCACAGTATTCAAGTTTGGGGCGAATGCATATCTTATATATGGCTAATCTGGCTTCTGGAGTGTAAAAGTTGCGTAGCACAAAGCCGGTTAGACGTTTACAATCAGATACCACCTTATTTGCATGTTCAGTAAAGGTAAGATCTGAGTATGTTATCCCGAGATCTGTGACTGTGTTCGTGTTTGAGACAAGGTCACCGTACATGTATAGACACATGCTAGGTTTCCAACGTCCGAAGTATGTTATCCCAGATTTAGCTGGATTGAACGTTAACTGCCACTTTTCACTCCAATTACATAGACTATTTAGGTCTTCTTGGATTTTACTAACAATATTCATATCATTATAGTCAAAATCATAGACAACTTTGAGGTCATCTGCAAAGAGGTATGGCTTGCCATACTTGATCATAGAGACAATATCATTTATGAATACAATGAATAGGGTAGGGCCAAGAACACTACCTTGTATCACGCCGCTGGTTATCGGTTTGGATGTTGATAAGTGATGGTTGACTTTAACTAACTGTTCTCTTCCTGTAAGAAAGGAAGTTATCCACTCAAGAAGCCTTCCACTTATTCCATAAGATAGGAGTTTCAGTATGAGTCCGTTATGTGGGACTTTATCAAAAGCTTTCCTAACATCTAGAAATAATGTTGCTGCCGAACGACCTTTGTCTACACATTCAGTAATGTGGTCGAAATAATCTAACTGGCACGTAATGCACGATCTTCTATTTAGGAAACCGTATTGGAAAGGGGATATTAAGTCATTCGAGAGCAAATACTGAACAATTTGCTTCTTTACAATCTTTTCCATCACACGTGAAACTACGGAAGTAATGTTGATGGGGCGGTAATTATCTATGTCCGCTGTAGGTCCGGTTTTGTGAATGGGTACAACGTAGGATTTCTTCCAGCTATTTGGATATGTTCCACTCCTTATCGAAGTTGAAAATATCTTGAGAAGAAGTAGATTCATGTCATTTCCACCATTTTTTAAGAGGACGGAAGACATTCCATCTGGGCCGGGAGTATTAGTAAGCTTAAGAGTTTTGATAGCTTTATTGTTCATGCGGTATAGAAATCCTAGCATGTTTAAAAATATTGAATATAATGTTCTCTTTACGTGACACGGTGAGGGGAAAAACAAAGACTAGAGCAGACATAGAGATAAGTTGGTGTTTGCAATTATGAAAGTAAAACAAACAAAGAAGCGACAGGACCATAAATATAATAGAAGTAATAAAAGCAAAACTTAAAGTTATATAAGGATGGATGGAAGAAATCTTTTATTTACTAGATGAAAAAAGGTTAGTTAATTGTTGCCTGACACTATTTTCATCACATAAAATACG